CACTTGAGTGAAATGTGGTATTCCAAGCATAGCTCTTTGAATTCCTCTTTGGGAGACACAAACAGCGTTCTCAACCTGTTTTCGTAGGACCCAGGTCTCTGAGGCTTATGTTAGTACAGGAAGAATGGTGAAGTCGAAAAGATGTGCCTGGAGCCAGAGGTTCTTCATCCACTTAACAAAATCTTTGATGCTCTTGAAGGGGATCCACACTGCTCTCTTCCTCCTGCGCAGTTCTGGAGCCAAGTCGTTCCTCATGTTGACTTCTCAAAGGTACACATAACTGCTGCATTCAGAGATGTTCATTCCATTGAGAGCAAATGGAACATCAGGAACTAGTTCGTTTTTCATGAATATTGTCTTGGTGAGATTCAGCTGTAGTTCGACCTTTCCACACTCACAGTCAAAGTCGGCCAGCATTTGTGCCACTTGGCAAATGTTTGGTGTTATTAGAGTGATGTCATCAGCGAAGAAGAGGTGAGGTGGTGTAGTTGCCACCTGTTTATCTTCACTCCCATCTCTTCCTATTCCAGTCGTCTCATGACATTCTCGAGGGTGGCACTAAAGAGTTTTGGTGAAATGTTATCATCCTACCAAACCCCTCTCTTGATGTCAATGATCACTTCCTTGTATAATGGTGAGATTCTGGGGGTGAAAGTGTAATACAGCTCGCAGAGGATTCTGATGTACTGAGTTTGAATGCCTTGTTTGGCTAGGACTTCGATGACAGCTTTAGTCTCAATAGAATCAAAGGCCTTCTTTAAATTGATGAATGTTAGACAGAGCAGCATCATGAACTCTCACAAAACCTCAATGAGCTTGGTCACCATATAGATATGGTCAATTTTGCTGAATCCTTTTCGGAACCTGGCTTGCTCACATGGTTGTCCTTTTTCTAGTGTTCTGCCTATTCTATTCAGGATGACACGAGTGAACAACTTCTAGACAATGGACAACAGGCAGATTGGGCGATAGTTGCTAATGTTGTGGATGTCTCCCCTCTTGTACAACAGAACAGTACTGCTGGTTTTCCACTGAGATGGAAACTTTATTCAGACAGGCAGTGTGTGAAGAGCTGAGCCAGTGTATTGATGAGAACTGGCGGCAGGTTCTTCAGGTGTTCAAGTGACCTTATCTGGGCCGGGTGCTGTTTGCTTCTTTACCGATGAAAGGGCGTGTTGGACTTCAGAAGGGAGAATGTTGGGGATAACATATCCATTCTGTGAAATTTGGTATGTGGGCTGATGGACTTGACTACTGAAGAGATCTGAGTAGAAGTTGTGGGTAATCTTCATTGCCTTTCTGGAATATGTGATAGATCCATCAGGATGTTGGAGGGCAGTCATTTTGGTCTTGTAGTTGGTGAAGGACAGGCGGGCGTTGTAAATACTTTTCCTGGCTTCTGATGAATTGGCCAACACTGATGCTCTTCTCTCTTTGAGGTCTTCATTTATTGCTTCCCTGTACATCTTTGCAAGCTTGGATATTCCCTTGTGGTTGCCTGAGGCCCGTGCCAAACTACGTTAGGGAGTGTGCTTGAGAGTTTCCGAAGACAGGCATCTGTTCGTGGCTTTCCCACTTTCGGCATTCCTTGCACAGTCATGGAGGTGCTGAACCAGTCGATTGTATTCCTCATCGATGTTTTCAAGAATGGCATCTTCCCACGTTGCCACAAGTGCCAAAGAGCTTTGCAGTCCTTTCTCCCTGCTTCGCAAAGTAGAACTTTGCATGAAGGGGGCAATGGTCCAATTCCATTTGGAATTTTGGGAAAACAGCAAAATTGGTCAGGCAAAAACATCAATTGAATATGATGTGGTCAATTTCATTGTGGAACTGTCCAATATTTAGATTCGGCCTTCTGGAACTGTGAGTTACCATGGATGGTCTTGGTCGACATGATGAATTCAGTCTCTCACCCTGTGTGTTCCATTCTAGGTCAGGGATCCCGATGTGGAGTTCATCAGCTGATCATCTCGGTCCTATCTTGGCTTTCAAATCACTGACAATGGTCTTGTAGAAGGTGGGTTCTTCTTTATAGAACTTCTCCAGCTCCATGTAGAACTTCTCAATTTTTTCTTCATTGTAATTGGATGTTGGTGCATAGAATTAAAGCTGCCATATTGGGGACTTTTCAGAGTCAGGGGAATGAGGCTCATTGTTTTTGGCATATTGAATATGCCACGGGTAGCTTGCCAGGCTCTGCCATGAGGGCGGGACACTCGGTATCTTGCCGGGCTCTCTGAGAGGGATGGAGGCTTAGGGCGGCCATTTTATATACCAATATTTAAAACATTTCTAATATTCAAATACTGACATATATTGTAGCACTGTAGCACTGTCCTCCCATTGTTCATTGATTTGCTCTTGCGGGCTCCAATTATGTCTCCATCATGAGACTTGTTACTGTCTTTGGCATATCAAATAAGTCACAGGTAGCTTGCCAGGCTTTGCCATGTGGACAGAATACTCTCAGTAGCTCGTCAGGCTCTCAGGGAGGAGTGGAGGAATTTAAACCTGGTTGGCTGATTGCAAGGCAAGTGCCCTACCTGCTGTGCTATCGCTCCAGCCAAATTGATAAAATAGTTTCACAATTATATCATGTTGAGGTCTCAAAAGCCAGCCTGACTAAATCCCCTGCCCCTGAAAGAAAGAGCTGGCCCTGTTTACAGGGGTCCAGGGGCTTGCTCCAGCACTGCACACACGCAGGCACTCTGGTTGAGGATGAGGGATGTAATAGTTAGCATCTGCCTGAGCTAATACACCTGGCCTTGAAAGAGGGAGTTGTAAATCATTGACTAACATCTGTATTGGGCCTGACAAGGTAAATGTGATACACGTAGATTCCCCCTCTTGAAATGGATGTATAAAACCCCCTGTGTGAGAGCTAATAAACGGATTGATGCTTGACCACCAGCTTTCTTCCCGCCGTTCTTTCTTGGTGGAGGCGGGAGTCCCGTGGTTCTTTCTTGGTGGAGGCGGGAGTCCACGGGTGCGCAGAGGGCCAGGGCAGAGACTTCTCCCCTTCGCACTCCCTCTTCTATAGGGAATAAGTCCGGCGACCAGGGGGACCATACTCCAGTGTGTCAGGGTCGACTGGCCAGGACCCCAACAATATTACAAGTGGTTTATAAAAAAAACGGTTAAAAGTTATAAGCATCCATTGCCTACTGGATAAGCTAAATTTAATGAATTAGAATATAGGGAATATAGTTCTTTCACTTATCAACTGCGGGAATTCAGGTGCAGTCATATTTATAGAATACAATTTGACAAAGCTCATCATAATTTACAAAATAAGGAGTGACAACTAACATAACATACCTACATTTACAATTTTGTTTTTAGATAATAGCATAAGAGTAAAAATAGCTAATTCACTATAGCATCTATTACAATAGAACTAGAAACAAAACATCCAAAATAAATTTCTGATTAAATCATCATAAAGCAATTAAAATATTATATTTGTATTTATTTATTTTTGACAATACCTAATTGTTTTCATAACCCTGTGCTCAGGGATCACTCCTAGAGGTGTTCATGGTGCATATGAAGTTTTGAGGATCAAATCAAGGGTAATTGCATAGAATGCAAGTATCTCTACCTATCTCTGTATTACAATTCCAGCTAAATATATCTGTATTTATATGAAAAGTTACATCTGAGATCATCTAAACAATAAAAAAGCTAATAAATTATAAATACACTATCATCCTCACTTGAGTTTCTGTGTGGATGTAAATATAATTGTGTCTATTGAAAAATATGTACTAACATGGTAATATTAGTGGTAAATAAAGTTTTCAGTGTTGGAAAATTAGTCATCTCTAGGTAGGAAACAAGTTTATTTTCATCTTGTTCTCAGTTAACTTTTGTTGAAATCAAATATTTAAAATGATAATTATACTATTTGTATACTTCTGCTGCTTAGACAGTAGAAAATGTCAAATTGCTTTTAATGTTTCCTCAAACCAAAACTGATATGATTTATTTAGTAGTTAGGCTGCTACAGAACAGAAACTTAGAATTATATCAATCTACAAAGCGATATTAAAAGCACAAACTATAATATTGCTAATGAAAGTTACATTATAGCACAAAACTAAAGAGAGTATTAGAATTTAGAAATATGAACTAAATTACATAGTGAACAGATGTGTAAAAAAGTATTTGAAAGAAAAAATACAACTTAGTAAAACAATCTTTTCTAGTTAGAAAACAGCATATGGTACATTGACATAAGAAATTTTACACTGTTTAAAAAGGAGAAATTAAAAATTCTACTATTAAAAAAGAATAAAGACTAAAACTCAGATGTTTCAAACAAAAATATATTGAGATTTATTACCATTAAATATTATTTTCAATAAAAGTTAATTGGAACTTTTTTCAAGACTCTTTATAAAAAATTTAATGTCAGATAATTTAAAATGTTTTCCTTCGAAAAATGCTAGGAAACTTAGAGAGTAAAAATATACTTCAGCCATATACATCTTGAATTTTTAGAATATGAGTGTGAATATAATTAAGTATAGAAAAGATGTGTTTTCTCAGGAAGAAAGAAGATGTATCAGTTCTTCCTTTAAAGTTCTCAGTGTCCTTGAAATGAATTTTACGAAACACAGTTTTTAAAAGTATAAACTTTTGTGGTCAGAGGGTAGGGTCTTTCCTTACACACCGTGGAACTGGGATGCATTGGGCACCTCATAATAGTCCTCTGAACCACCCCAAAATTGAAATGTATTCATTTATAGCCTGTATATTCATAGCAAACAAGCAAATATCACCAATGCTAATTCAGAGTTTATTAAATATTAAATCACTAGCCAATGTGGTTTAATAGTCATCAAATTTTTGATATTACTTTGAAAAACAATATCAAATTTCTATCCTAACAGTTTTGACCATTGCAAATTCACATTGGAAATATTCATAGAGCATACACAGTCAGTAAATTTCTATTTATTTTAAAACATACATTTTATATAAAAAATTAATTGTACCTGGTTTTGTTACTTGTAAATTTAGTTTCCTATCCTCATCATGCTGTGCAGTTTTCCACTGATGTAAAGACTCCTGAATGGACTGGGCAGAAGCTTCCTCATCAGATAACTCTTCACACAAAAGTCTCTCTTTAGGAGTTTTATACCCTGTATCTATTGCTGTTGAAACTTCTACCTAGAACAATTAAAAAATTATTCAAGTGAAATTTGATAATTTTCTACATCTTAAAACACAAGTAGAAACAATGTCTATTTATTGTAAATTGCATATTTTAAAAGAACAGAAAGTTTTGAAGTTTTATTTGATTGAGTGATACCTTAAAACTCTATCAGCAGATATTATATTAAAACTTTTAATATCTGAAAAGTGGCTTTTTCAGAAATTAAAACTGGAACCTATAGAACTGAGAATTTATCAGTATGTTATTCACCAGAATTCTCCCTAGTAAGATGAATATTGCCTGCATTCTAATCTAAACTTGTTTTCTAATATAAACCATTTTTTTTCTAATATAAACAAAAGGTATCTAGGAAACTTCCAGTTGCCAAATACTAGCTGTTGGTCATAAAACTATAGATCGGTACATCTTCAATTAAAAATGAAAATAACAAGAAAATACTTAATTCAAGTAAACAATAATTGTATGGAAAAAAATTGCAGAGCCGTATTCAGGGAAAGAGAATGGTATATGTACTTTAAAATGCAGTTGACTGACAGTAGCATGGACATATAAGTTGTTTGGATTGTTATTTTTTTAAATAAACTCTACACATAAGGACAAAGTGGCAGGTTACAAAGGTCTTTGATAAAGAGGAACTTAAACTTATATGAAAAATGCAAAGTCACTGAAGTATCACAGTATAACGGAGAAAAGTTCATTCATAGGCAAATAAATCAATTAAACCATCTGAAATATTCATAATAATGGTAGTGATCATTATAATATTATTAAGATTTAGAAATTCCAATCAACATTGCATCTATTCATGGAGGGAGGGCATACTTCGACTAGCACAACTCAGGGGATGGATCAGAAGTCCTTCATGTAAAGACCTTTAGACCATCTCCCCAAAGTACATTATATTTCTGTCAACAAATATATTCTTTAAGCTGATAAACAGAAAACACTCCAATTATACCCACCATTAGTCACTAGTAACCCCCTGAACCACTCCAGCAGTCCGAGGGGTAGAGTAGGGGATAACCACACAACTTGGAAAAGAATATGAATGTGCCAATACATACATATAGGTATAAATATGAAGAACAATATTTTTCAAAATTGTTCACCTAGGAATAGTAGTATTTTATCATCCATATAAATATATATGCAAAACAATGCTTTTCAAAATTGTTCTTTTTTAGATCGAGGCCTTCCAAATCCAGTGATTCTATACTGTGGCTCAGTGATACAATGCAGTTTGTACAGGTGGTGGCGGGGACCACCAAAGCTAGAACTGGTGGTAACTCAGTGGCCCATGTAGTAAAGGGGATTGAACTCAGAATTTGAACTTAGGTCCTCACACATGCAAAACATGTGTCCCACTCCTTTGTTCTCTCTAAACTTTCAAAATTGTTCTTAAACTTCAGCTTATACTGACAAAAAGTTAGAACACTATACATACTTATTTTAAGTGCTGTTACATAGCCCATTAATTGAGTATCTTACATCCACTATCACATGCAAAATAAGAAGGTAGTAAAATATACTAATAGGGAAATAAAAACCATTTTAACCATAAAAATTTTGAGTAATATGGAAAGTATTTCAATATTTGCATAAAGAGCTGTATATTCTCAAAACTGGAAATTTAACTGACTCCCCGAAGGAGTAAGGAGATGAAAAACGCTTTTCACTTTAGAAAACCTATACACCTTAAGAAAAAACTGATTTCTGTATGGGTCCCAAGCATTTCCCTACAGAGGGAAGGGCACAAGGCTAACCTGGGTTTGTTTCCTGGAACCTTATATGGTTCCCAAAGCTCTACCGGAAGTGATTCCTGAGTGCAGAGCAAGAAATAAGCCATGAGCACTGCTAGGTTTAGCTCAAGAACAACAACAACTAAATTGATTTCTGTATTTGAAATAATATTTGGAGAAGAATGACCAAATGATCAGGGTTATTTTATATGATAGATAGCACTGTATTTGGTATATATATTTAATATATATTAAAATAATATTTTCCAAAATTATTCACATAGAAATATAATCATTTTCATATATTCATAAATATATATGAAAAATGTTTTTCAAAATTTTGAAAATGAGCTTAGAAGAGAAAAGATGATAGGAAACAACTTTTCTTCTTGTCTTGGAAAGATAGAAGGTAGGTTCCCAGCAATATTCACAGTAGCAAATATAATTTAAGAAAATTTAGTTCTAAAATAGTGAGTTTTGGGAGTATATGGGAATAACATTAACAAGTATGCAGTGAGAAATATTTAAGTGTGTATGTACCTATTCCACACTGATGAAGCAGCACTGGAAACTAAATGACTTATTACAAAGTTCTTCATGGAAACTGTGTCTGAAACAATGAATAAGAAATATGACATTGACATTCTGTAGTTATGGCTCTCCCACAGTTGCAATTGATAGGAAACCAGGATTTATACTGTCTCCCTAATAGTTCAGCCCGAAATATCAAATATCACTTCTACTCAGATTCCAATATGACCCTGTCCAATGCTAAAGGATCTAATTTAATTTGAAAAGGCAAATAAAACTCAGTGTTTTATATATACTATCCCTAGACCACATGATATTTCTAAAAGATGTATTTTAATATACCCACTTTCCAGAAGTGAAGAAGAATCAAAAGACTAGGGACTGGATATATGGCTCCTACTTTGCATGTGGGTGATCTGGGTTTATCCCAAACACTGTCTGGTTCCCCCAAGCACTGCCAATAGTGATTCCTGAGAATTGAGCCTGGCACCTGAGCACCCACTGGTATGACAAAAAAAAAAACAACCTACACATAAATAAATAAATAAATAAATAAATTACTAAATGAATTTCCTGATGGTATGATCTTACAAGAAAACTGGAGACAGTGTTTCAAATTCAGGATTCAGTCTCTGAAATAAAAACTCTTCAAGAATGACATCCCTTGCCAAGAATATACTTGATATGGCTTGGATCCTTGAGAAAATTGCTAAAATAGACATCAGACTTTGGCACTACAGTGACTTCTGCAAGCTTTAGACTTTCTGGCATAGAAAACTACATTTCAAGACCATAAACTAAATGTAAGGGTAAATTAATAAACACATTTTAACAAAGTTGTCCAGTGTTTCTGATTCTTACTATACCTGTGGAACAAATGTTTTTCAGCAGAGGTGAAACTGAGCAAATAACGGAATCTTTCTTTAGTCTTAATCTTTCTTTAAGCTTTCCACTGCACACAGATAACACAACTGAGTGTCCACAGCTGATGCCCAGAGAAGTATACCCGAATAGCCAGCATCACTGAGTAGTTATTAAAATAAAACATGTCTAAACCCACCTCAGATATTAAACTCAATTATGTATATCTACTTAACATTTATTTAACAGACTTAATTTAGACTCCTGAATGAAACTATTAACCCTCATTGCATTTTTCGCCTGTTAATAGGGTATTGACCAGGGTAATATTACAAGCTGATTGTGATTGTAAGATAAGATAGGGTATATATAAAGGATCAACTGCATTGAGTATTTATTAAAGGTACCTTTTAATTTATTACTATTATTGATAAGATGAATGAGATAAATGGCAGTTTAATAGAAGGATAAATTTTTACATTTCTAAGGAGTGGTTGAGAACAAGAAACTTGGAGTAAGCATCTGGATAAGGATCTAAGCTCCACTATTGATGATGACTTGGATAACTAAATATCTCTCTTGATCAATAGTTTCTTATCACGGTCCTCCCGTTGTTCATTGATTTGCTCGAGTGGGCCCAGTAACATCTCCATTATGAGACTTGTTGTTACTGTGTTTGGCATATTGAGTACCTCATGGGTAGCTTGCCAGGCTCTGCCGTGCAGGCGAGATACTCTCAGTAGCTTGCCGGGCTCTCCAAGAGTGGCAGAGGAATCAAACTCAGGTGGGCCATGTTGGCTACGTGCAAGGCAAACGCCCTAATGCTGTGCTAAAAGATAAAAAAGAAAACATAATATGTACAAAATATTTAGGATAGTGTCTGGGAATCGTATATCAACACATAATTTGTATTACTGGGTTTGAGTCACACAGCAGTGCTCAGTGGGTACTCATGGCTCTGTGCTCGGGAGTCACCTCTGGCAGAATTCAGGGGACTATTTGCAGTGCCACAGATTGATCAGGGGTCAGCCATAGTGCAAGTACAAGTGCCTTATCTCCTACACTCCCCACTCCTGGCAACTGGACCTCACTCAGTGATTGTTCAAAAACATTTTTTATGTCTTCTATAAAAAATCCACATAAATATATTAAACTTTCCTGGACTAATCAAGCATTTTAATAGGTCCTTGAGTGTAGAGGCATAATAATAACAGTGTATTTTTATTTTCATTTTATAATTTTAAATCAAGTCATATATAAGTTTATTCCTGCATTTTCTCAATTCTTTCTTCCTTATATATTCCCTTTTCCTTTTCTACTTGGCAAGATTTGGCTTTGTGTTCAAGGATCTTTTGGGGGTCATTGTCCTGTTTCAGTCTGGTGATAACTACCTTACTCTCGTGAATTCATGCCTGTACAGCTGTGCCGTCTGCTTTCTCCCACTGGACGTCTTCAATACAGATGACATATTTCTTCTGATAAACATGAACTATTTTGTTATTTTTCTGACTTTTGTAGTGACCTCTCACAATCTAAACCTCTGAGTTGGGGTATACCACACGTGACACTTCTATCTCACCTCTTTGGAAAGGGGGGGACGACTCGAGCTTTCTGCGAATGTGGGAACGTGCATTGAAATGCCTTTTATGGTTCTTGCTCTTGCCACAAGTCCCAAGAGGATTGAATTTAATTTTGGTTGTTACCACTTCAGTATTAGCCACTGAGGAAAAGGGAGCCGCATGCTACTTCACCTTCTGCCAGAATATATTTGTTCTTTTATCATGACTTTGAATCTCAATAGAGCAAATTTCAAGTCTGACTCTGTCACCAAATACTGTATGGCACTGACCAATTATTCATGATTACTGAACTACAAAGGAAAACTAAGTGGGATTTAAAGGAATTAAAACTGATGTGTCTCTTCTTATTTGAGGAAAGTTTATTTCATAAAGAATCATGCTATAATAAAACAGATATGAGAATGAAAATTCACTTAGAAAACTGGGATCAGTATTCAATGTGAGTAACTGCCAAAATTTGGTATAAATCCTATTTTAAATAACTGTGAAATTGTCACCTAAAGTGTTTGGAAAGGTTTTGTATTTCTAGGTTTTCTGAAATCATAGCTAATAATAACTAACTAAAAATTGTTATTGTTTTTTCAAAATTTTCTCATACTCATTTTCTGAATTGATGTAAATATCTAATAAAGTAAGTAAGTAAGTAAAGGCCCTCCCGTTGATCATCAATTTGCTCGAGCGGGCCCAGTAACATCTCCATCGGAACTTTGTTGTTACTGTGTTTGGCATATCGAATACGTCACAGGGAGCTTGCCAGGCTCTGCCGTGCAGGCGAGATACTCTCGGTAGCTTGCCGGGCTCTCCGAGAGGGGCGGAGGAATCGAACTCGGGTTGGCCATGTTGGCTGCGTGCAAGGCAAACGCCCTACCGCTGTGCTATCACTCCATATCTAATATGCAACATAATCAAAGCATCATTCATCTAAATATAGTATTACTCAGAATAATCTCTTTAAAATATTTATAATAAATGTGTGATTAATATGAAATACTTCATAATCAACAATGCAATAAAATCATTTGTAAATCTCTAAGTATGTAAATGGCAGCTGCCGAGATCATGTGTGATATAAGACTATTATATTTTCTTCTGCTTACCTTCGAGCTCATTCCCTGCAAAAGTAAAGATTCGGTTTTATGATGATTTTTACTAATCTCCTTAGAAAAATGATGTTTTTTGCATTCATTTGGATCATCTTCTTTAATAAACTGATGTGCAACATCTAGTACATTGGATAATCTTTGAGATTTGTCCTATTAAAAAGAAATAAGATATAATTAACAGTCTAATAAGTCATCATAAGCAATTTACATATATCAAGTAACACATTATCAGTCTATGGCTTCTAAATTTCAATATATTTTATTTATACTTAAAAAATTGACATATAAATTAATATTATAGTTACCATCTACTGACTAATAATTCATCTAGCTTCCACAAGTATTATACCAAATATCTCAAAGAACACAGCATTCAATCCTCATTACAACTCATTTTGGTGATAAAATTCTGAGACTTCACATAAATATCCTTTTTTTGCATGGAGGCAGAGATGGAAAGTGATCTTAGGTATATACCATTCAAATTGTGGAAATCCTTTGCACTATGGAAACCTCAAACAGATGTGCTATTTTGAGCAAAAAAAAATGCCTAAAGAAGTGAGAATAATTAACTTGGTAAAGACTGAATAAGTAACAATGTGTATTCTTCAGTGATAAAAATATGGAGGGAAGCATTTGCTGCTTTAAAGTGCACAGCAGAAAGCAGCTTTACCTGTAGATCCATTCCAAACTCCCAAACTGTTCTTCATGTCTGACTGTTCATGAGTTTGACTCTAGGAAGGTCCACTCCTCAGTATTCCCTGGACTACCATCTCCACATTCTTTGCTAAGTTGACTCCTACCTTCCCTTCTCGGATTCATTCCAACTTACATTTGTTCAAAATTACTAGGAGTCTTTTTCTCTACCATTTTAATAACTAGTCTGAGTTTACAGATACCAGTCTTTTGTATGTTACTATTCTGTTGATTGTCTATACTGTTGTGTAATAAATATAAGTTTATAGTAAAAAACAGTACCAAGTTTTCAATTGCTATATACCCAACAAAATCACTGGACTATCATCCATGATTTAAAAAAATATGATGCTGAAAAAGAGAGAGAATAAACAGCTGATTTTATTTTATTTTATTAGTAGTTTTTTTATTGAATCACTGTGAGATAGAACCTTACAAAGCTGTTCATGATTGGATTTCAGTCCTACAGTGTTTCAACACCCACCCCTCCACCAGTGTAGTGCATTTCCCAGTACCAGTGACCCAAGTTTCCTCCCATCATCCTCCACCCCACCCCATCTGCCTCTATGGCAGGTGCTTTTCTTCTCTCTCTCTCAGTCTCTCTCTCTGTCTCTCTATGTCTCTGTCTCTGTCTCTCTCTGTACCTACTCTTGGGCATTGTGGTTTGCAGTATTGACAAGAAAAGGTATCAAGAATATCTCTTTAGGACTGGAGTGATAGCACAGCGGGTAGAGAGTTTGCCTTGCACGTGACCAAACTGGATTCGATTCCCAGCATCCCATATGGTCCCCTGAGCAATGCCAGGAGTGATTCCTGAGTGCAGAGTCAGGAGTAATTGCTGAGCATCACTAGGTGTTACCCAAAAAGAAAAAAAAGAATATCTCTTTACCTACTTTTAACACTCATTTCTTGTCCAGAATGAATGATCATTCCCAGCTATTATTGTCATATCGTTCTGTTCTGTTTTGATCTGCATCTCCCTGATGATTAGTGGATGTAGAGCATTTTCTCATGTGCCTTTTAGGCATTCAGATTTCTTCTTTGAGAAAGTTTCTGTTCATTTCATTACCCCATTTTTTGTGGGGTAGGATGTTTTCTTCTTGTGGAGTTAAACCAGTGCTTTGTATATCCTTGCTATCACCCCCCCCCCCGCCATATTGTATGGGTATTGGGTGACTATCCTTTCCCATATGTAGATTGTCTTTATATTCTGCTTATTGTGTCTTTTGAGGTGCAGAAACTTCTCAATTTAAGATAGTCCCATTTGTTTATCTCTGTTTCCACTTGGTTGGTCAGTGAAGTGTTATCTTTGAAGATACTGTTAACGTCAATATCATGGAGGGTTTTTCCAACCTTGTATTTAATGTACCTTATGGATTTTGGCCTGATGTTGAGATCTTTAATCCATTTTGATCTGACTTTTGTGCATGGTGTTAGGTCCAGGTCTAAGCCCATTTTTTTGCATGTGATTGTCCAGTTATGCCAGCACCATTTGTTGAAGAGGCTTTGTTCCACTTCACATTTCTTGCTCCCTTATCAAAGATTAGATGTTCATATATTTGGGGTTGTGTTAGTGATATTCCACCCTGTTCTATTGGTCTGTGGCTCTGTCTTTGTTCTAGTACCATGCTGTATTAAAAGCATCCAAATAGGAAAGTAAGAAATCAAGCTCTCACTATTTGCAGATTACATGATACTTTATCTCAAGAATCCTAAATCCTCTACGAAGAAACTCCTAGAAACAATACACCTGTACAGTAAAGTCGTAGGCTGTAAAATTAATGCCCCAAAATTCATGGCCTTCTTATAGGCAAATAATGAGATAGAGGAAAGTGACATGAAAAAAACAATCCCGTTGGCAATTGTGCCCCAGAAAATCAAATACCTCAGAATCAGCCTAACTAAAGAGGTAAAGGACCTCTACATTGAAAACTACAAAACACTACTCCGTGAAATAAAAGAGAACACGAGGAAATGGAAACACATCCTCTGCTCATGGATAGGAAGAACCAACATTGTCAAAATGTCAATACTCCCCAAAGCATTATACAGATTCAATGTGATCTCTATAAGGATACTGTGAAATTGTTCAAAGAAATAGATTCAGCATTCCTGAAATTCATATGGAACAACAAACACCCACGAATAGCTAAAGCAATTCTTGGGAAAAAGACATGGGGAGGTATTACCTCCCCAACCTCAAACTCTACTAGGAAGCCACCTGGTCCCTTTAGCCAAGTATTACAGGAAGTAGCCTGGGCACTGCTTGGCAAGCAAACCACAATGGCCAAAAGGGAATTCAAGTGACCAATCACAATCAAATTAAAGACAGGATGATTTACAGATTGTTCTTACACTCATCAACCCTACAAGTTTGTAAAGACATAACTTTTTAATAGCAAGTTTAATACTTGCTTTGATCACGTATACCATATATTTGTTCCTCAAACTATAGTTGCTAAATAAGCAGAATCATATTACTCAGAACCTGATTAAAAACATCAAATCTCAGCTCCACTGAAAACCTACAAAATTGGAACCTGTAGTTTCCCTTTTTTTTAATGCACATTATGGTTTATTTGTATGCATATTGAGGGTTTAGCATCATGTGTCAGAACAGTAAACAGTTGTGGTCACATTTGACTAAACATGTCTTGCTTCCCTTTTGTGATTATAAACTCCATCCAGGGGCAGCCATATATTATTCTGCATTATTGTTTCACATCACCTTCTTTCAATTTGCACCTTGCAATACTGTCCTTCACACTTTGCAACTAGAACATTGCTTGACACTGGTTAAGTACTTGAGAAATGTTGGTTGAAGCATATTTAACTGACTGAGACAAAATGACTAAATTTTATTTTAACATTCCTTCTTTCTACTGAAAATATATTACCGAAGTCAGTGCCAACACAGTCAAATCAATGCCACTATTAGTAATAGGACAAAAGGACAAATAATTAAAATAAGACAGAACTTGGGGAGCTAATGTGAAAAATATGTATCAAGCTGAGGAATATCATAAAGCAGCACATTCAAATGAGTGTTATCATTTCACCTAGACCTCAATATATTTACTGTAATGTTATCAGTATTTGAATTATTTGTCTCTTACTTGTCCATAAGAAAGAGTAATTCAAATACAATACATAAGTAATTCAAATACAATATCATCAAATTCTTAAAACATCTCAAGACAGAGACGGAGCTAGCTTTCCATCTATACTATAATGAAATAGTGAATAAATAATTCATCCCCATAGAAAAAATATTACAGTAAATTGCTTTTTGGTTTGTTTGGTTTAATTTTGGACACATCTGGCTGTGTTCAGGATTTACTCCTGGCTCTGTGCTCAGGAATCACTGCTGGTGGTGTTTGTGGACCATATGTGTTGCCAGGGATTGAAACTGGGGGTGGGCTCACAAAGGCATACAATAAATAAAAGCTAGCAAAACAAATTCAGAAATATTTGCTCAAGAAAAATAATGACTTTACATAAAGCAAGAGTTTATGTTTTCTTTATATAGGGCTGTTCTTATCTGCTATTTTCCTTCCCAAATGTGCCAGAGTTAATTAGGGAAAGAATGGTTTTGTTGCAGACATACTTCATTCTCAGTGGAAGCCAGAATTTTGAAACTGCAGTGACATATGATTAAACAAGTAAATGTGGCTGCAAATTAAATCTCATGATAGTCTGAGATTTTAGTCCCAATAGGGACAAGCAGTCTCACAGTCAAAATTTTAATGGGATAATCCTGAAAATGTTAAAAAATGACTGATTAATAAATGGAGATAATTGGTTGGACTAAAAATAAGGTAGCTCTTATTAAAATTAATTTGACAAATGATTTAAAATATGAATCACCTGTGATTCAATTATCCACAGAGAGTTATTTATTTGAAAATTATAAAAATAATTATGCTTATTTCAGTAAATAATTATAATAAATAGACAAGCATCAGAAGCAGTGTAATTGATGAGTTGATGAACTGATAATTAGACAAAAAGACATCCTATATATACAGAATGGAATATTTTTGTTAATTTGTTATTTGCAAAGATATGAATGGACCTAAAAATAAGCATGCTTAATGAAACATGCTACGTGGAAAAAGAAAAATAGCCAATAATATCATGTGTTGTATATAAAAATAACAAATAGTATCATGATCACAATCATCCTGTTGTTCGTCGATTGCTTCGAGCAGGCCCCAGTAACATCTCCTTCATCCTAGCCCTGAGATTTTAAAAAGTGCCATATTCAAGGCTCTTTTAGGTTAGGAGAATGAGACTCATCATTGTTACTGGTATTGGCATATTGGGTACACCACGAGGAGTTTGTCAGACTCTGCCGGGTGTCCAAAGTAAGAATGAGATAGTAAGATGTCACACGGCCGCAAATGCATCCACGCGCTTCCGGGAGCTGGGTTTTATAATCTCTGGGTCTTGGC